CTGAATCCTACTGCTGAACCACACAGTTTATTATAAACCCTATTAACTGGAACATGATCCACCCATCAAATTTTTACACCTATAATATACTTTTATACATAATCTTTAAGGTGACAACTATTGCTAGTATATTACATTGCATGCAATAACATAACAACATGAGATACTGTTGAGTTCTCACTTGCTACATAAATCATTTTTTTTAATTTAAACTGGCAACTTATATAGATTTGACATTGAGATCAAAATTACATATTTTTTAAAAAATTGGGAATTAGATTTTAAATAATTTAAATAATAAAATAAAAAATTGTAGATTAATTTTTTAAGAAATGTTTAATTTAGTTTTTTTTAATAAGTGAAACCATGCTGATACTTCAATTTAAACTGAAAATTGCAGCATGTGCAAAGTCCATTTCTCTTTTTTTTTTTCTTTCGTAAAAATTTACAAAGTGAAAAAGTGGTTTATTGGGCCAGTGAGCTTAAATACACTGGGTTTGGACAATTTGTTGGGCCGGTGTGCTTCAGACACTTGGCATGAACCAGAAAAATCGAAACAGTGGGCTCAGTGAACGTTCATCAAGTAAAAACAAAAATCCTTAATATGAGAAGACTAAGAAAGGGCTCATGAGAAAACAAGAGAAATTATATGCCACTAACTATGAATATTCCTTGAAAATTTTAATTAAAGCACCTTGAGGAGAGAAATTATTATAAGCCACTACACCATAACTATTTTTTTTTTCCATTATGTAATCTACTTGAAGAGATGAGAAATTTTTTTTTTATTGTTTTTGTTATTGCCAAAATAAAATAGTAACGAAATTAAGTCTATTTAAATATGAATTTAAATTATTTTGTATTATAAAATATTTTTTATTTTCAGCAAATAATCTCTCAAAAATACTTATAACTTATATTCAAATATATTCTAACAATTTGTCCCTTTTTCTTAAGTTTTTCATTTCTAATGCTAGCGAATGTTATAAAAGTTAACAAGAGTCGATGTTATTTCAATGTATGTTTAAAAATTCAGAAACATCATCCCGTCACTCAATTTGAGTTATATTATGAACTTTTAAATAAGTTAGTGTCTGTTTTGGTTTGAATTTTGTGACCTGATTCTTTAGGTGAAACATAAACAACTTCTCATAACTTTTGCATAAATATGAGATTTAGACGTGAAAATTTGTTACCACGTATATACAGAACACTGAACCAAATACGTACTTAGTAGAGCACTTGTGGGAATGAGATTGAACCAAGTGGGCTTGGTATGATACAAATCTTCTTATTTGTGCTTAATGAAAAGAAAAAAAAAAACTTAAGTACAATACTAAAAGTATTAAAGAAGTTGTTCTTTAATTAAAATTAAAATTCCACTATGATATTTAATTATGTATATTGGTTGGGGTAGAGTTAGGTACATATGTTTGGAGAGGCAATTTCAAAAATTTTAATTTGTTAAATAAAGATATAAAATATAATAATTAAATCATATAGAAATATTTATAATTTTCTATTTTAAAATAATATAATAATATGTAATATATATATTTTTTTTACATGACCAAGTCGTTAGTTCAAGTTGTATTAGACTTAATTCTTTTTAGTAAGATTTTAAGTTCAAGTCTTATAAATATATAAAAATATAATTTAAAAATGAGACTTCGTTAAAAAAATTTCGATGAAAATTAATCATTTGATTATAAGTGCAATCATTTATAATTTTTATAGTTACAACATATTATAAAAGGAAAAAGACTCTGTAAAAATAAATAAAGTAAAATAGAAATAGAATATTTGTCTAGAAGAAAAAAGTGTCACTATCTTCATAATAAATAATATAAAAAGAAAAATAAATTATTTTATTATAATATATATATATATAAGATAAATCAAACTTAAATATCATAATTTTTACAATTAAATTCCTAAATGTAAGTAGTTATCTCAATTATTTTAACATTGAAATATAATATTTTACATTAATAAATAAATAACTTTATGAAAATTATGGGGTAAGGGTAAGGGCCCCTCCCCTTAAATAGTTTCGTCGATGTATATTCAAAAACAACATCTACAATACTTTATATTGTATCTAAGTTCTATTCATTCAAAAATCATTCTATTTGACTTTGTTGGTCTATTATATTTTGGTGACTAAAAGGGGCTTTCACCCCTTAAATAGTTTCGTCCCTGTATATTAAAAAACAACATCACCAATATTTGTTATATTGTATTTAAGTTTTCTTCATTCAAAAGTTATTATATTTGACTTTGTGAGTTTATTATATTTTGGTGACTAAAGGGGTAAAGCCTAAATAACTTTGTCTATCTATTTTTTTATTTTTTTGCTAACAAAGGAAAAACGAAACAAAGCTAGCTAAGGGAAACAACCCCCATTAAATCATTCTGAACTATAGACTGCAATCTATTGGAGGATAATCAAACAACTCAATCTCCTTGCAAGAACGAAAAGCCATAATGCACCAACCCAACGAGTCAGTTTCTAAACCCTAAACCCTTTTAAGCACCTTGTAGTTTTAGGCATTGAAATTTGGCATGTGATGCACAACCATAATTAGACACATACTTGAAGGTGATGGCATCCTTACTTGCATGAACTTGAGATGATGAGCAAGGAGGAGGACGCCTTCTCCAAGGATCAAGTTCTTCAAAGGTGGACCAAGGTTTTAGGGTGGATGATGATGGAATTGACGAAAATGAAGGTTGGGTAGAAGGTGTTTGAGGAAATGCTTGAGAATGGTACTCTAGGGTTGGCTCACTTCATGATGATGAAGGCCACTTCTAGGGTTGTTTCTCTCAAGGTGGAGATGGTAGGGTTTGGCCGAAAATAGCCAAGGGTGACTAAGGAAAGATATAAAGGCACTAAAGGCTCTCTTTATATTCAATATCCAAAGTATTTACAAGGTGTGGGGTGTTGGGTATTTATAGGAGGGGAGGCATCTAGGGTTGCATTTGGAGTAGGCAAATGCATTCCAAATGAAATGCAAATGAACCCTAGATGCAACTTGGTGGCCAAGGATGGAATCTTTGGGTTTAGATTGGCTATATCTAGGTGCATGATAAGACCATGCAACCTTTGCCCTCCACTTGGGCCTAAGCCTTTCTAACACCAAAAATAGATCCAATGAACACCAAAAAAATGTGTCACCCTTCTAGTTAACACCCTAGCCCAAAATTAAAAATCCTAATCATCTAGAGCACCCCATAATACAAGGGTAAAAAGGGAAATACAAGGGAAAATAAATTCTAAGTCCTAAACACCCCAAAATACAAGGGTAAAATTGGAAATACAAGTAAAATAAATTCTATGATTAAAAATAACTTAGGAGCTAAGGTCCAAAAGTGGCCTCACTAACCCATTCCTCTTGCCTCCTTTAATATATCACCTCTTGGTCTTCTCGGCCTTAGTGTTATTCCATCATTCCTATTACCCACAGTCCATCTAATATGTTATTTGTAACATTGACACAAACGAAGACAACCCCCCTTCCAAACTCGAGAATCCATGTTTTTAACTTTCACATCTAGCAGAATTTTACTTCCACATCTATACTTAGATCTAAACAAACTAACCCACAACTTATTGGGTTTTGATATTAACTCCCAAGCAAATTTCATCATAAATGCATTGTTGAAAAGATTAAGATTCAAAAAAGAAAAAAAAAACAGCCCTCCAACTTGTCTCAATCTACACAAAACATCCAAGGGAATTCCCGTTATTAAGATAACTCCAAATACTTGTCTTCAATCTCTCCGGTTTGTTTGAAAGGCACTTCAGGATCATGATGGACTGCATAATATATGCAGGCAGATGTATGATGCTTTGAGCTAAAGTTACTCTATCAACAAAACCAAGATGCTTGGATTTCTAGGAAGATAACCTATGGTTAGCACGGTCCAAAATATGCTGGTAGGCATTCTTGGTCTTTCTAGTAGATGCAATAGGGAAAAAAAACCTTTAGGCACTCATTTTTTTTCCCTCTTTTCAAATTACAAACTTAAATTAATATTTTAATATTGAATTAGATTCATATAAATGTTATTGGAGTGTCAACATATTGCTATATTTAAAATCTTTAGCAACATTTGTCCACTTACATTTTAATAATGTTACTATAGATCAAATTAATATGTTATTACATTTTTTTAAGTGGACAAATGTTGCTAAAGATTAAAGTGTCTTATCTCAATATTATAATTTCTAATTATTTATCAAAATTAAGTCTCACATTGAGTAAAATAAATGATATATAAAAAATATATTTCTTCAATATCAAATTATTTCTCAAAATTAAAGTCTAAATCAAATAAAATAATGACACATAAAAATATATATAACCATAAAGTAAGACTTAAGATAAATAAACTTTGATATATGATATATATATTTAGTGATAACTAATTTAGAATATTTTATCTTGTAAAAAAAAAAAACAGATATTTTTCATCTTAAAAACAAAAATCATAAAATATGGGTGATAGTACAATTTATATTAATACTACTTATCATTTTCTAATTTTCTAAAGCTTACAAAAATTTAAGATTATTAAAATGTTATAAGATATGACTTTAATAATACTTTTAAAAATATTGTTATTAATATATATAAAATATTACTTTTAATGACATAAATTTTATCTTATATTTAATAAAATATTGTTAAAATATGTCAATAATGTTTACTTATAATTTAATAATATTTTTAATGTTAGTAAAAATACATATTATCGCAGTGATAATTAAATAACGTACAAATTTCATGAATCATTAATATGAACCAATTATGTGGCTAATTAATGGACTGTAAATCAAATTGAATAATCTTATAAACCATTAGATGTAATATATGATTATGGTCTTTACCGAAGAAAGATGGAAAAAAAAGCTGGAAGTATCTAAATTCAATCAACACCCACTTGCCAAAGGAAGGAATGATAACCCTATTTTATCCGTCACATCACATCACATGTACAGACCATTGAATTCATTTGAATACCATAAACTGCAATCGAACTGTTTACAAGTAAATGCTATAGCAGATTGAGGGGTCGTACTTTCTAAGTTGTAACACGATAACCAAGGTCCAAGAAGAAAAAAATAAATACCCTTCTACATTAGTTTCTTTCCATCTGTGAAGTTTGAAGCCGACAACATACATTGTTCTCGCATATATCATATAAATACAAGTAATTTTTTAATAACTAAACATGCATTTTCGCATCCACAACCTCTGTTTCATTGTCTCCCCTACTCTTACTCCTCATGTCGTGTCTACAAGACATTTTCTTCAAACGAGAGTTTTTGGAGGAGGATTTGGAGATGGCATGTGTCAGTGAAACATGAGCACGTATTCATGCTTCAAAAGGAAGAAACTGATATGTCAGTTAAATTCTAAAGCCTAATCTCAAGCATAAGCAAGAAAACCACTCAAAGTACTGTTTATGTTTTATCAAGAAAAAATTCAACACATGTTATTTATTTTATATCATCTGCATCTTGTTTTTTTACCAGTTACAACACATTCTCAACCCAATTATTTCTCACTCTATGTATTAGTTTCTTTTAACTTTTTTTATTGTGTGTATTAGATCATTAAAATATGATTTTAACATGATTCTATGTTTTTATTATTGTCAATCATTGTTGATGTATTACGTTTGTGTTGTCATGTCATGAGAAATAAAAATAACTGAAATTATTTTTAATTTTTATGAAATCTAATGATGGATCAATTTTATTTTATTTTTATTTAGTATCTCTTATTCTTGACAATACGATAATGTGGTGTTAGGAAACATTTGATTAGGACAACATGCAAGAGCTATACCCATCCTGTTCCAACTTTGACAACGCTGCCCCGCACAGCGCACATTCCGTTGCTATTTTCGATGCCCAAGTATCCATCACTTAATTAATAGTAACTATTAATAATTCCAACACCTTATGGCTTATACAAAACCAAAAAAACAAATGTTTAAAAATTAAAAATTAAAAAAAAGCATCGCGAAATCTGTCCCCTGTGTCGTGCCTTGTAACTACAAGTCTATAACCGCACCACATCTCAAAACGATTCGTCGTTTTTTCAAAGGTCTCTCTATTTCTTTTCTACCTTTCGTCAACGTAGACTTTTCTTAGAAAGCTAGCGTTCTTTAACAAACAAGCTAGTGTTTGGGAAGATATGCTTATTTGACTGAAAATTTAATTTCATTATAATTCTTTATTATTTTATATTTATCAGCTTTTTTATTAATTAATTTTAAGATAAAACTTTTATAAAATGCTTTAAGTCTATAAGTATGGTTAAGAATATTAAAATAAAATTTGAATGACATTCGACTTCATCCCTTTAAATAAAATTTCAGATTTAAAACATGTCAATGAAAAAAAAGATAGTTAAGAGGAAGATTATTTAAAAGTAAGGTGGAAAGTTAGATTTTATGACAGAAAATTAATTATTAACAAATAAAATTAATTATTTAAAAAATATTAAAACTCTAATCATAATTAAAAAGTAACAATAATTATATTTATACCTATGTTGTGGTATTTAAAATTTATTTTTAATTTCATATTAACAATAAAACTTACATGTGATAAGAATTAAAATTTCATTCTAGTACAGCCAAAAAAAATATTACTAAAATAAAATTCTAATTTTAATTAAAACCATTATAATTTCCTTAAAAATATTATTAAATTAAACAACTTAAAAAATTAAATTTATTTCCCTAAAATTATAATTTGTAAGCTTTGATTATCTCCTAAACTTGAAACTAAGTTATAAACAAGTTAAAAATAGAAAAGAGGAAGCATTACCGTTTCACGTAGTGGAGGAGGACCTAAGCAGTCGTTTAGCGAGTTGCGGTGTGGACGTTGGTCTCTGCGAACGCGTGGCGCGTTTCAAGGGTTCGACGACGGAGTCTCTAAGCCGGCACGGCAAGGCCTGGTTCCTCCCTCGCTTCGACCTCACCACCGGCTCCCTCTCCTCCGCCACGTCAGCACCGTACAAATCCACCACCACCCACCGCTTCCCCCCCCTCCGAGTCCTGGACTCGCCGCCCTCCGAGTCCGACTCGTCCAGCACCCTCGCCGCCTCGATCAGCAAATCCAGGCAATTGCTCTCCCCAAACGCCGCCGCCGTCTCCTCGGACTCCGTTTCCGCGTGGCGCTTGGCTTCGTCGTCGGACACGTGGACCGGAAGCGGTTGTTGTTGCTGCTGCTGTTGTTGTTGTTGTTGTTGCTGTTGTTGTTGTTGTTGTTGTTGGGGTGCGGTGGAAGATTGGGATGAGAAAGTGAGATTCAAATCGATGTTGATGCCTTTGGTGTTGGGAGAGGGAGGAGTAGTGGATGAGATTATGCGGAGAATCTTGAAGAAGCACATTTGAGCCTTGGAGTGCCCTCGCCGCGAGGAAGCCATGAATCTCAGAGAGACCTTACTATACGATGATGCTGATTGCTGACTCAAACAACCTTTCTCACTGTCACCAAACACTTAACTTAACCAAACCCCCTCTTCATTAATGACAAAAGATATTTTACAATTTAACCATCTCACTTCAAATATTTTTCAAAAGAAAAATAATAGTTAAGTGTAATTTTATATTTTTTTTTTAAAGATAAAAAATATAACATATTTTTAATTATCCATCTTTCAATTTAATCACTAAGTAACTCTAGTAATTAAGGATAATTTTATATTAATCCGCGCATTGTCATGTTTTTTTCAACTTGAAAAAAAAAAAAAAAAAAAAAAACACTTGAGATTGACAGTACTTGGTCACTGTTTGGGATGAAATGAATGTCGTTTTGTGCGGTGGTGTAAGGTTGTGGGAGTGTAATTGGGTTGAGACGACGTGGGAGGGTTGTTCCGACGCGAGGTGACACGTGGCAAGCTGGGATTACTGAGGGAAGAGAAGAAATAGAAGGCATGAGCATTGAGCATGGGCATGGGCTGATGGGCATGGGCCCCCCTTACATCTGCATGCATAAACCAGCTGCTTCCTCTGTCTCAATGTCAACTTCATCATCTCATCTCATCTCTTCCATTTCTATCTTCTAATCCAACCAACTCAATATCATCTCCATCATCACTTTCCTTTTTCTTACTCTATGCTTGCACCCACGTCCCACAATAAATTTATGTCTATCATATAACAATGAGCTTCAGAATTTCATGTGAAAAATTATATGTCTATAACAAGTTATCAAACATACCGTTACTCTTTTTTAATTATCATGTTCTAGGGTTTTTGTTTTTACTCTTAGTGGTAAAAATTAAAATTCACCTGTTGAAATAATATCTACAAAATTTAAAGTTGAAATTTTAGAATGGTCTTTATAATTTTGATGAATAATAATTAAAAAAAAACTTACTAGCAGTTACATTTATGTATTTATGTTAACATAGATTACATTAAGTGTAGATGAAGTATTGTAAAATTTTAAAGATTTTAATTGTTTTAATTGAAATGATATTATTTTTATTGGTTAAATAATTAAATTCTTTTAATGCCAAAAATTTGTGTTTGAGTAAAATACTTAAATCCCAAACAATATTAAAGAGAGAGAGAGAGACATATAGGAGAGAAGAGAGACAACAAAAATGAAACTCCCATAAATAAATGGAGTATAAACTTTTTTAAAATATTTATTTGTTTTGAGAAATTTAAAATAATTAAAATATTGTATTATATTTTTTGAAAATTTAAATTTGTTATGTAAAAAAATATTCTAATATTAATTATTTTAAATAATCAATCTGATTTTGTAAAATTAAGTTAAATTATAAACTCATTTCATTAAAATATATTTTAACGATCATTATTTTTTTTTAACTTATCATGTTAGTCCCTATCAACATGTTAATCACACACAATATTCACTCTGCAAACTTGAGTTGGGGTTAATGTTTGGTTCATTCTAAGGTTATGGATGGCATGGCAAGTATTGGAAATGAAATTTACAATGTGCTGACTTGTTCTGTTGGGCAGTGTAGTGTAATAATAGAGTAGCAGGTTCTTATGTTTGTTTCCTTCTCTATTCTGCACTGTAGTCAGAACGAATTGTTACTTTTTTTAGTAATAATGTTTGACACTTACATGGTAAAAGTTGATTGTAGGTTGTGTAATTAAGGTACATTAATTTTTAATTATGGATAGAGAATACTCCATAACAGTCTTTTGAGATAAATTATTTCATATCGTAAAACTATTAATTATTTACATTCTTAACTAACTTCTATATGATATATATTAATAACACTTGATTATATATTAAGGAGAAATTAATTAAGGATTATGTGATTTAGGATCATCAAATAATTTTTTGTTTTTGGATATTTCTTATATATAGTTTTTGATTCAATATAGAGGACAATCACCAAAACATCTAGTAACTATTCATGCCTTAAACAATAATGAGTATATCTGTCTTTTCAGTACAAAGAAAATATATATATATTGGGGTTAACTCTTCGATACAAATTCCTTATTTTCATGTTTTGATCTTCTAAATGGTGTTGTATCATTAATGCCCTTATAGGCCATAAATTAGTTATTATTATTGTTATTGGTATTATTGTTATCATAATTGTTGCATAATTGTCAAGATTCATATCTTATTATAATAGAACACGTTTTTTTTTAGCTCTAGACATCAAGTGGGAGCAAATATTCCTTGACTATAATCTAGGTAGATATTAACTCAGCATGTTATCGACACGATACTCAATCAATACATGTGCTTCAAAAACATACAATCAAATAAATACATAGATGATATACTAATCAACAAAATAACAAACTGGTCGACAAAATACCTAAATGATACATTAGTCATAAAAAATACTAGAACGATAGATTAGTCGGCAAACTACAAGGGTGGTACAATACTTGAGGATGAATTTATGAGAAGTCGAACCCGTGAATGTTTCTTATATAGTACTCTCTCAAGTCTTGTATATGAAAAAAAAAAAAAATTTACACTAATTAATAAAGTTAGTTAGTATAATTTAATTGCACTAATTTCACTTAAAAAAATAAACTTTTCTTTTGAACTATTCAATCTTCACTTCATTGAAATTTGATACTAAAAAGAGAGCAAAATTCAAGGGAAATAAAATCTCAATTAAATGAAAGGTGTTTTGAAGATAATAATAATAATAAATTTAGGATAAAAACATGTCAAATTGTTGGACAGGAGTCTATGACCTAACCTACATCAAGCCAAACTTTTTAAAATATAGGCCAAATCAATGCTTTTATTAGAACCAATTAAATTAAAAGTGCAAGCATTATGTCATTTAAAAGGTTTACTAAGCCAACTAGACTAACCTATTTAAATAAAAAGAAATTATTTAGTATTATATCAAATTTGTTATAATGTATTAAATATATATATATATATATATATATATATATATATAATTTTCATTTTATAAGTTAAAGCATGTTGACTTATATAAAATAGTGTAGTTTATAAGTTTATCAAAAGATAAATTTATGTCCTATTTAGAATTCTTATTACAAAATATGCTTACAAATAAGTTATTAATCTTAAAAAATGTTTATCTCACATAAATAAGTTAGATTTAATTTTACAAAACCTAACATATCTATGTTTGATTTCTAACTTGATATCAAAATTATTACAAAATAGGCTCTTGAACAAACTTGAAAGATAGGTCAATCTTTTAAAAAGATCTATGACAAATAAATAAATCAAATTTAGGACAAATATTTTTAAAAAATGTCATATTCAGACTTAACAAAGCTTAAATTTATTTAACCTATTTACACCTTTACAACAACTAAGATCTGTAACGTCTAATCGTATTAATATTAATCTCAGTAATATCCATATATATGTATATAATATTTGTAGCTAGAAAATACATATATAATAATAATATTATACATCATACCATATTTTTTACTACGCACGTAGTTGCTTTTCTTACATATATATAGTACAGATTATTTCATGCCTATCTCCTACTGTCATATTTCCCTGTTTTAATTGCATAAATTCTATTTCTTTAGCCCTCCTAACATCATTTGGAAAATATTTTTCAAAAAATTTGGCTCTAAACACTTCCCATGTAATAATTATTCCTCCTCCTTCTAATAGTCTTCTAGTATTATCCCACCAATATTTTGCTTCTCCTACTAACATAAATACTGCATAATTTACTTTTTGGTTATCAGGACAGTTCATGGCTCGAAATATCTTTTCTATTTCTTTAATCCATAATTCAGCCTTTTCAGGATTATATCCTCCGTCAAATTGGGAAGGTTTATTGCTTCTAAATTCTACCAGTCCTTGTGACTCCCCTATTCTTTCCGGTCGTTGATTCCTTAACAAGGCGGTAGCCATGTCCCTAATAGCTTACACAGCCTCAGTCAGTTCTGTATTTCTCCTTCCTGCCATCTGAAATTTATAGATTAGTTTATTATACTAGAAACATGGTTAACACATTTCCCCAAGTTACACATGGAACCTGGCTCTGATACCACTAAAATGTAACGCCTAATCGTATTAATATTAATCTCAGTAATATCCATATATATGTATATAATATTTGTAGCTAGAAAACACATATATAATAATAATATTATACATCATACCATATTTTCCACTACGCACGTAGTTGCTTTTCTTACATATATATAGTACAAATTATTTCATGCCTATCTACATATCATATTTTTATTTTCGTACTTCTATAATAATTACATGGGTGGTTGGAACAAGTTTACGATAGGGTTCACGTGATTTGCTGGGGGTAAGTAAAAAGTAACAACGATGGGTCCATCTATCACCGTGGGAATTTCTTGATATGGAGAAAAAGTGAATGAAGACACAGCTACTCCATTGAAAGTTGCTGAGTTGGCTAGAGCATCAACACCCCATGTTGTGCCAGAGAAGACTGCAGAAATTACTGAAGGAAAAGGAGCTGGGATCGCTGGAACATCCATTTCTATTTATTTAATGATTTTTATGATTTTATTTACACAAGAAACATAAGGAGTGAGAACGATTTTCAAATAAATATTTATAATTACATAACATGTGTAGCAATAATTAATAAAAAGAAATATGTATATATATATATATATATATATTAATAATGATTAACATTAAAATTTTAATTAAACTTTTAGTGACTAGTCAGGATAAATGAGCATTATCATATCAACCAATAAAAGGATATTTCACCTTAATCAACAATTCTTACTCATTTAAATCCCCAAGGTCAAACCTCCAGCTACAAATAATTCAAATTTTATCTTCTATGGCCATAGAACAATATCTTCATAAATATGTGAAGAAATAACAAAACGAGTCCAAGATATCACAACTATATCATAGTTGATTATAAATATATTTACAATAAATATATTTACGTAGAAAGAATATATTAAAAGTACCAATGATATAAATAAAAATGACAATAATTATAAAATAATTAAACAATATAAAATATGAACACCTTAATAATTAATATGGACA